CAAAAAAAAAAAAAAAAAGAAACACCGTCTCTTTATAATCAGCTGGAATCTGCCTCATTTCTATGCCTGCCTCTTGGCCCTGCCTCTGTCCTGTGAACCACACAGAATAAAACACCACCCTTCGCCCCAGCCCTGGCCTGTACTAATATCCACTGAAGAAAAGTTTACACGACTCAAAGACTCCTAGGAGTAAGACCTCAGGGGAGGGGAGGATGGGCATTGAGAAACTTAGGGACCATGTGACACTAACAGAAAGAGACTCAAGAAGGAATCATGGGACCAGCAGCAGGACTCCCTCACTGATGCCACTTCTCACCACCCCACGAGCTACACATCTGTCTTTTTTATTGGCGCCATGATCTAGCTAGATAGAGGCAGAGACCAGGAGTAGAGAGTGTATTAGAACAAACCAAGCTGTCTCCCTCTCTCTTCTACAGTGTCCACACTGCCTCCTAACTCAAGAGCGCTGGGAACCACATCTATGATATCTACAATTTCAAACAGTACAGTCCCTCTAAATATCCAGATCATTTTCCAGTAGAAAATTTCAACTATGTTCTTCTTTATTGCTATAGTGAACCACTTAAAAACTCATATAATTTATATTTGCTTCAATAAAAATGTCTATTAAAAATATTCACAGCCGGGCTCGGTGGCTCAGCCTGTAATCCCGTGCCTTTGGGAGGCTGAGGTGAGTGGATTGCCTGAGCCCGCGGGTTCGAGACCCGCCTGGGCAGCGAGACCTCATCTCTACAATAAATCAAAAAATCAGCCGGGCGTGGTAGCTCGCACCTGTAGTTCCGGCTACTCGGAAGGCTGAGGCAGAAGGATCTCCAGAGCCCAGCAGGTCGAGGCTGCGGTGGCCGGGAGCGGCCACTGCACTCCGGTCTGGGCAACAGAGTGAGACTCTCAACTCAAAAAAAAAAAATATTCAGCCTGCCAATGCGGTGGCTTAGCCTGTTATCCCAGTACTTTGGAAGGCTGAGTCGAAAGAATTGCCTGAGTCCGGGGGTTCAAGACCAGTCTGGGCAACTTGGTGAGACCTTGTCTCTACAATAAATCACAAAAATGGCCAGGCTCGGTGGCTCAGCCTGTAATCCCAGCACTTTGGGAGACCGAGGTGAGTGGTTTGCCTGAGCCCGCAGGTTCGAGACCCGTCTGGGCAACTTGGCAAGACCTCATCTTTACAATAAATCAAAAATTAGCCGGGTGTGGTAGTGCGCGCCTGTAGTTCCAGCTACTTGGAAGGCTGAGGCGGAAGGATCGCTGGAGCCCAGCAGGTCGAGGCTGCGGTGGCCGGGAGCAGCCACGGCATTCCAGTCTGGGCGACAGAGTGAGACTCTCAACTCAAAAAAAAAAAAAAAATCACAAAAATTAGCGGGGCGTGGTGGCGTGTGTCTGTAGTTCCAGGTACTTGGAAGACTAAGGCGGAAGGATTGCCTGAGCCCAGCAGGTCAAGGCTGCGGTGACTGTAAGCGTACCACTGCACTCCACGCTGAGAGATAGACTCCAACTCAAAAAAAAAAAAAAAATGCAGCTATCAGAGAAATGCAAATCAAAATCATAGGAAAATACCACTTCATATATGCTAGGATGGCAGCAATAAAAAAGCTAATAATGAGTTGGTGAGGATATGGAAAAACTGGAAATCCCCCGTACTGTTGGTGGGAACATTGAAAGGTGCAGCTGCTTTGGAAAGCAATCTGGCAGTTCTTCAAGAGGCTAAACATGGAGTTACCATAAATCCCAGCAATTCCACTGCTTAAAGATACAGGCATACCAGGCTGGGCATGGTGGCTCTTGCCTATAATCCCAGCACTTTGGGAGACTGAGGTGAGAGGATTGCCTGAGCCCACGGATTCGAGACCAGCCTGGGCAACTTGGTGAGATCTCGTCTCTACAATAAATCAAAAAACTAGCTGGGCTTGGTGGCACATACTTGTAGTTCCAGCTACTTGGAAGGCTGAGGGGGAAGGATTATCTGAGCCCAGCAGGTCGAGGTTGTGGTGGCTGTGAGTATGCCACTGCCCTCCAGCCTGGGAGACAGAGTGAGACTCTGACTCAAAAAAAAGATATAGGCATACTTTGTTTTATTGCATTTCACTTTATTGTCCTTTGTAGATATTGCATCTTTTTTACAAGTTAAAGGCTGTTGGTAACACTGCGTCAAAGTCTATCAGCACAATTTTTACAACAGCATGTGCTCATTTTTACAACAGCATGTGCTCATTTTCTGTCTTTGTCTCAGCATTTTTTTGTCAATAAAATATTTTGATCTTTTTTTTTTTTTTTGAGTTGAGGCCTTACTCTGTTGCCCAGGTTGAAGTACAGTGGCACCATCACAGGTCACTATATCCCTAACTTCCTAGGCTCAGGCAATCGCTCCACCTTAGCCTAAGTAGCTGGGACTACAGGTGCCTGCCATCACACCCGGTTCTTTTTTTGATTTTTTTCTTTTTTTT